GAAGTCAACATATGTACTAATGTGCTGGACACAAATGACGTATGTACGGATTGTGACGAGTTGTATGAGCCCCTAATAAAGTGATTATTAAAAAAAACAAAACAGCTGCCAGTTTTCCACGGGAGTAGGACACTACACTAGCCACACCCTCGCCAGTACCTGGTATCGTCTGTCTTCTCAACTTGAGCTACTCTGTTGGAGATGGGAAGGGAAAATCTTAGTTTGCATGCCCCGATGATGGATGGTGTCTGGCACCTTTGCAGGTGTTGGCTGGGTCTTGGGGTCATCCAGGTAGCCCCCAAGGGGGTTGTTGGTTGGTGAAGAAGCATGGAGGAGGGAGACCAGCCAGGCAGACGTTCCCACAGCCCAGGTGAGGGATGGAGATCCTACGGGATGTGGACAGTAATGGATGGGACACATGGGACATGATGAGCCAAGGCTGAGCACAGCCTGGGTGTTGTGACTGCTGGCCACACATCCAGACTCGAAGTGGTTTAAGGACATCCCTTGGCTCCCAAGACAGTGCCAAAGGCAGGCACTCTCTCAAAGGTCCTGAGGCAGACCTTCCCAAACAACCCTATCACACCCGCCTTCTCTTGGCTGGAATGGCATTTCGTGATTACTAAGCCAATTACGAGCAAGGGAGTGCTGGTGTGTCTGTGCCCGCATACACAGTATCACTTCCTTGCTGTGCCTGCCACTCCCCAAATCCACAAGGACAGTCACAAGACTTCCCCTCTCGCTGGTCCCTCTGCTTGGAATGCCCGAGACAACCCCATGTTTCTGGTGTCGTATGTCCATCTTGGAAAAGTCCCGATGTTTCAAGGATACCCCCAAAGCTGCAGGTTGGGTGGGTCATCTCCTCTGGGTTCCCATGGCATTCTGGGACATGCCCCTCCTTTAAGGCCTGTGTGTGCGGCTTTGGTGGGCAGAGCTAGTTTTTGCTCAGTGGATGGAGCCCTGACTGCGCTGTTGGGTAAGTGCTGGATGCTAGCTGCAAGGTTGGCAAACTCATCAGTTGCTCCTTGGGAGGAAGATGAGGCTGTAAAGATGTAAAGCCTCAGAAATACTGTAACGGTCTCTGTGAGTCAGGATGGACTTGGCCTTGATGGCAGTGCTTGTTTTTTCTGCAAATCAGTGTCTAGCCCAGAAGAGGCCACCCACAAGAGTTCATGGACAATCCTGGGGGGGTGGGGGGAGGCAGTGGCATAGGAATGGGGCCAGCCCCAGTTGCTTGCTCCCATCCCTACTATCACCCACAGCCCTGCCCACGGGCCACTGGGCTGGGCCTAGCTGCAGCTTATCATGGGCCTCTCCCCAGTCCCCACATGCCAGCTGGCTGGGTGCTGGCCTCCCGGTGCCACGAGTCCCATGGAGGAACTTGATGCCACCCCTCTGCAAAGGGAAGCTACAGCCAGAACCCAGCCTCTGTACCACCTACCACCAGCCGGGACGCCAAAGCTGCGGGAACGCTTTATTAATTTAGGAGGTTTGGGGGTGGGGGGGAAACCCTTCATGGGGAGGCTTCGGCAGCCCCGTCCAGCACCCTCTCACAGGTGGTGGGGCCTTGGAGTGGCTGCCAGCTCCCTCAGACCGTCTGTCCCTCCATCCAGAGCCCCAGGGGACGGGGTCTACCCAGGGCAGGAAGTAGTTAGTAGGAGGCTGGGGGGGTGGAGGGAGAAGGTGGCTGGCTCGCTGCCTCTCCCCTCAGGTCCCTGGCTGCGGCTGGCCGCCGATGGACCTCAGCCCAGGCGGCGAGGGTGGTGGTGCCGGAGGGGAGTGGCGGTGGAGGCGCACACACCTGGAATGGCTTTTGTAAAAAGTATAAAGTGTTTTTGGGGGAAAAAGGGAACAAAATTTATATAAAAATCTCTTCACATATAAAATCCTGAAGAAGGTGCAAGGTAAGACCCAGTATGAGGGGCGCTCAGATATGCAGAGTTGTGTGTGTGTGTCTGTGTGTGTTCGTGCATGTGTATGCCCGTGTGCATGTGTGTGCGCGCACGAATGTGCGCATGCATGTGTGTATGTGTGCAGTGTGTGTGTGTGTGTGTGTGTGTGGTGGGTATGAGTGCACATGTGGCCCATGGGGCTAAGAGAAAGCTTGGCTTCTGGACCCCATCCAGCAGGGAAGGAGGGAGGTTGGTCCCCTGGGCTGGAGGTCTCCAGCTGGCCTGGCCCCCCAGGACCTGGAAGACAAGGGGGAACACGGGGTAAGGGCCGGCAGGGTGGCAAGGGGTCCTGTCATCCCTGCTCCCTCAGGCCTCCCTGACTTCTCCCAGCCTGACCAGGCCCACGTGGTAGCCTGTCTCTCATGCCTCAGGCACTCCACACAGACAAGACCTGAGGACAAGCGTCCTGAAAACACCTCAAACGACATCAGGAATGCCTAGGGCTACTACAGGGGACAGGGAGGCCAGGCAGAGGGCCCTGGGTTCCTGGGTTGATTAGTGGTGCCTGTCTGTCACAGTGGGGTGTGCAGGGGGCCCAGGCAGAACAGGCTGCGGGTGTGGCATCTCATGGGAAGTGCTGCTCTCCCGGAAGGGGAAGTGGTGACAATTAGGTCCTTAAGGGCACTTCCTCCGTTTCACAGGGTGCCCTCTGGCTGCAGCCACTCCGAGCTGTGGGCGCCAGGGGGAGGGGAGTCCCCAGCCAGGGCGCAGGGTCACCTCTAGTCGGCCAGGCTGTTGCGGGTGGCCTCCTTCTCCTGCAGGGCGGCCATGGCGAGGCGCAGGTGTTCCCTCAGCTGCTCAATCTCGCGCTCAGACCGCGTCCTGACGTGGCTCTGTTCCACACACGCATCCTGCTGCTTCCCCGAGGTGAGGCGCTTGTCCTGGGTGGGGAGGGGCTGTGAGACGCCCTGTCCCGGCCCCCCGCCCTTCCAGCACCGCTTGGCAGCGAGGGGGTCCTCACAGGGTGACCACAGAGACAAGGACAGGCCCCCCAGGCCAAACCATGCAACCGCCCTCCCCAGGATGGGGACCCTCTGACCCCATGGTGGTGCGCCCCAGGTGGCCCACCTTCTGCATGGTCTGCAACTCGTCCCGCAGGCATTGCACCTCCTTCTTCAGGTACTGCAGTTCGTTCTCCTTCACCCGCAGCAGCACCTGGGCCGTGGACAGCAGGCTGACCGGGGCCACGGGGCCGCCTCCCCCACCTCCCCCACTAGCACGCCCCTCCCGGAGCAGCACCGAGACACCACCCCCAGAGGCGGGCGAGGGCCAGGCTCCTCCAGGAAGTCCTTGCTGATTTCTGCCACTCTCTCGCTCTACGTCCCCGCCCTGTACCACATTCGTGGCGGGGTCCAGTGGCAGCCTCTGCTGCAGCCTTCATGGAGAGGGAGAGGGCACACGGGGGTCATGTTGTGCCTGACCTGGGCTTCCTCACCGATCCTGCCGCCACCTGAGGAGTAGGCTGCTGCCCTAAATGGACCGAGGAGCAGGGACTGTAGCCCCAGCTCTGGCACTGCCCACCCGCCTCAGTTTCCTCGTCCGTAAAAGGGGACAGTTACGGTGTCGTCCTGTCCTGCGAGGGGGAGCCGAGCCCACAGGTCTAAAGGACTCTTGGCAGACCAGCCATAGAGAGAAGCCTCGTGTGAGTATTTGTCAAGTCAACAAAGTGAAATAAAATACTGGGGTGACCCTGAGGCCCCACACTTCTTCCTCCCCACCCAGCTGCGACAGGAAAGAAAGGTGTGGCCACCTGCTCTGGTAAAGATTCAGCCAATAAAACCCCCGGGGGCAATCCCTTCTCCTCTGTCACCCAAGGGGTCCGCCATGAGTCAGAGGCTTGAAGGCCACAGGCGCTGTGTTTGGAGGAGCCCTGCTGGTGGAGTGGTTATGGGTTGGGCTGTGATCTGAAAGGTCAGCAGTTTGAAACCACCAGCCGCTTCCTGGGAACAAGATGGGGCTTTCTACTCTCATAAAGAGTTACATTCTCGGTGGGTGGAGGGGGAGGGAAAAAAGAGGAGCTGATACCAAGTAGAAAGAAAATGTTTTGGAAACGATAATGGCAAAAATATGTATAAATGTGCTTGATGCAACTGATGTATGCATTGTTGTAAGAGCTATAAGAGCCCCAATAAAATGACTTGAAAAAACAAAGCAAGAAAGAATAAGAAATAATGTAGCATTAAACATTCTCCACGTTTTGTGGGGCAAATGAAGAGTTACATTCTCGGACACTCCCAGGGTGTTCTACCCTGCCCCACAGAGTCGCAATGAGTTGGCATCGCCTCAGTGGTGTTGGGAAAGGAGAACAGAGGTGGCAGAGAGAGTTACATGCTGGACCGCTAAGCGCAGGGTCAGCAGTTCAAACCACCCAGCCGTTCTGGGTGAGAAAGTTGAGGCTCTCTGTTCCTGTAAAGAGTTGCAGCCTCGGAAACCCACTGGGGCAGCACTGCCCTGCCTGTAGGGCTGAGACGAGCCAGATGTGCCCTGATGTCTGTGAGTTTGGGGTCCTGGAGGGAGGGGCAGGCCCTACTTTACAGATGAGCTGCTGGGGCTGAGAGAGGGCAGGCGACAGGCCCTGAGTCACGAGCTTCCACACACACCCCACCCCCACCCCCCCGCGGCCAGTGCTCAGTGGGGATGGGGGCGGGAGGGGGGGGGGGGCTCACCTCCAGTTCGCAGGAGCTCCGCTCGCTGCCTCGTCCACCGCTGTTGCCTGCGCCCTGCGAGGCGATGAAGCTCCTCAGCCGGTCAATTTCCTCTGACAGGTGTGTGTGCAGCTCCTGGAGGGGGCAGGGGTTCAGCGCAGGGATGCAGGGGACGCCCTCACTCACCCCCTCCACGGGGCCAGGCCCACCTGGTTGTGCCGCAGCAGCTCCTGGCCCTCCTGCTGGCAGTGTCTGAGCGTGAGCTCCCGCTCCTCGGCCTGCCGTGTCAGGGACCGGATCTCCAGACACTTCTGTGAGTACTGCTCCGACAGCACCTGCAGCTCCCGCTTCAGCGCCTCCACGTCAGACCTGCCAGGGGGCAGGGCACAGGGATGGGGGGCTCGGCCTCCTGCCCTCTGCCAGGACCCCCCACAGGCCATGGTCAGCTCAATGGGGCTCAGACGCCCCGGCTCCCTCTCAGTCCTCAGCGCGGCCCGAAGCTGGCTTTGGAACTGGGAACGGGCAAGTGGGTCTCCCTGGGCTGCAGGCAGCTCATTGACAGGGTGCCTTGGGGGAGCCCCTGAATTCTAGCACCGTGTTCCTTGGCAGGGAGGGAAAGCTACTGGCCAAGGGTGCTGGTGTAGCGTGGTGCTAGGGAACACTAAGAGGTGGAGGCAGCGATTGGCTAAGACAGGAAGGAGCCAAAGAGCTGTCCATGGGCTGGTGTGGAAGAGGAGCCCTTCCCGAGGCCCCAAAGCCCGGCTCCCTATGCCCGCATGACTGCCATGGGAGTCTCAGCAGGGGAACCCATGTGCCCTCTTGCCAGGGCCGATGCAAAGTTTGCCACTGCAAAACCGCTGGAGGGTGCATGGGGCCGGGCTCAGCGGGGAGGGGGAGGCCAGCCCAGCGAGCAGAGGGCAGCCTTACTGGTGCTGCTTCCGGACGCTGTCAGGGCCCTGCTGCAGACTCCGCGTCTTGTTCAGCTCCCGGCTCAGCTCCTCCTGGTAGGCTTTCTTCATGGCTTCGATGGCTGGAAGTGGGGCAGGGAGGCAGGGAAAGGTGAGAGAGGGCGCCCCCACTACAGTCCACCCCACTGGGAGCGGTGTGTGAGGAGCACTTGGCCAGAAGTCTGTGGCAGCGGCGTGGACTGGGCGCTTGTGGGCAGTGTGGAGCTCTCTGAGTCTGCCCATCGGGGGAGGATAATAATCCCTCCAGAGGGCCTGGCTGGGAGCCACTGTGGAGTCTGACCATGGGTGCTCTTGCTGTTGGTGAACATCTGCTGAGCCTAGGGGCCTCTGACAAAGGCTTGTCCCCCAAGCTAGGGGTCGAGTGGGGTCAAGAGTTCCTCTGCTCACGGGCTTCGGCTTTGAGCAGGTGACTTGGCCTGTGTGTGCCCAGGCTGCCTGTAAGATGAGGACAACAACAGAGGAACCTCCTCACGTCCTAGGAGGCTTGGCCGAGTGAGTACCTCGTGCAATGACTTAAGCACCAGAGGTGCAGGGTGAGCAGGCCCTCAGTCTCCCACCCGTGACCCCAAAGTCCCCAGAGAACGCTGAACACAGAGGTGCTCATGCCCCCCGTGGTGGCGGACCCCGACTTGACCAGGCGTGAGGCTCTTCAGGGCTCTATGAGCTCACTCAGGCCTGACTCTCCTTAGAGGGGGCGGCCGGGGGAACCGACGTCTGGAACACACGCGCTGGTTTCCCCCCACAGCGTAGCGCCAGCCCGGGGGCTGGGGAGCAGCGCCATGCCCTGGAAGCTCAAGCCCATGACCCCCTTGATCAGGCTGCAGCTCTGCGAGCCCCGTGGAGGTGCCTGCAATGTCCAGGAGATGGAGGGAAGGCACAGGACTGTCTCTGTCCTGCGTTTTGTGAGCCCCAGATTACACCTCTGTGAAAGGGGGTGAATCCCTCAGGGGTACAGGCCGGTAACGTGGGGGGCACAGAGCCTGTTCCCTAGGCCCAGTGAGACGGCACGCCAGGACAGCAGGATCTGCGACTGGCCCCTCTCTGCCCTGAAGCCTGGGGCTGGGGCCTGAGCTAAGCGGGTGTGGCCTGAGGGTGCACCTCTTTCTTGGCTGCAGCCGCCCAGGCAGAGGAGTGTTAACTCCTGGGGGCTGGGATGGGGTGTGTGTGTCTGTTTTACTGTCTCAGATCCCCTCCTTTTCCAAATAGGGGCAGACAGAGACCAGCTGTGGCAGCTTCTCCTCCCTCCAGACTCCCTTCCAGCGTGTGGGCCCTCAGCTCTTGTTTGCCCCAGAGCGGGGCCTGACTCAGAGCAGAGCTGCCCAGCGGACCGTCTGGACAGAAGCAGGCTGCCTTGTCTTCTCCGGCAGAGTAGCAGGAGGGTTCCACCTGCCAGCCTCTCGGTGGGCAACCGAGCAGGGCCCCTCCCTCGCTGGGGTCTGACCTGAAGCGGTGGCCGCTGTCTCCTCGGCCAGGAGCCACTCCTTCTCCTGCTGCAGCCGCTGCAGCTCCCGCTTGTGGTGCTGCTGCAGCTCCTGCATCACCTGCTGGTGCGAGGACTCCATCTCCGCCAGGCTGCGCTCGCACGCCTCCTGCAGGGGCGGGGCCAGAGCGCAGGGGTCAGTGCTGCCTCCTTCCCCAGCCTCCACCTGACCCAGCGGCCCGCCCCCTCCACGGACCTTGCAGGCCCCTAGCCCCCAGCTTGGAGCTCCCGCCTCCTGCCCTCCGGGCTCCAGCCCTGCTCCTGTGGGCCCCAGAGGCCTCCCCACGGCCTAGCAGCCCCAGGCCTGAGAAAACGGGGCCACCACACCAGGCTCACTGGGAGCTCCAGACAGACACACAGCCGGAGGGAGGGCAGTGGTCGCTTCTGACTCGGGGTGACCCCGTGTGCTCCCCCGAGCAGAGCTGTGCTCCCAAGATGGGGCTTCGAAACGGCTGTGGTCTCTCCCCAGTCGCCAGGCCTTTCTTCCAAGGCGCCTCAGGGTGGGTGTGGAGCGCTGGTGGCGGTCTTTGCCGTCCGCAGCACCCGGCTTTAGCTCACGCTGGTCCCTCTGCCAGGGAGGGCTTCTGCAGCTTCCTGAGCCGCTGTGTGCCCACCTTATCTCTGGGCAGCCTCCCCCAGACCTCCAGAGTACAACACCTGCCTAGGTGTACGCCTGCTTCCCCAGGACAACAAAAGTTGGTCCACTTCAGGGTCCCCGGGGTCCAGACCTAACGATGGGTGCTCAGTAAATGGGCTGGAACTGGCGGCATAATGCAAAACAGCTTTAAGACAAGGTTGGCCAGTCTCACCACAGAACACAGGGGAAGAGGGTGCCCAGGGCGGCAGGCTTGGCAGGCGAGGGGCAGTAGACAGGCGCCTTAGAGCACCCCCAGCCCCGGAAAGTCACGTGAGTACAAGGCACACGGGGGTGGGGGGTGCTAAATAAATGATGGAGTCGCACAGCGGCCAGGCTGCTGGGAAAGAGTGCCGGCTGCGGGCTGCAGTGAACTGGGGCCACTGAAGGAACATGAGCCAGCATCTGACCAGCTGGGGTGACCCCTTTAACAGAAACCAGCCACACAGATCCAGACAGAAGCCACAGGAGATGTGCAAAGGGAGGGGGGCATGGGGCTGTGGCCCACGCTGCCCAAACGCCCACCTGCTAAGCCAGACCGCCCCGACAGACGCACTGCTGCAGACGCCGGGACCATGGAGCTGCCCCATGGGTTTCTGCGCCTCTGAAAACTCGCTCTGACCCCGCAAAAGGGAAGCGAAGCCGCCAACCCAGGCCAAACCCCGCTCAGTGCTGGCGAGCGGGTCCAACTCTGGGCGCCTGTGCAGGACAGCGAACTAAACTAACCGCTGCAGAGGGTGTCCTCCGAGTGCCCTTCAGCTCTCCCTGCGCATCTGCTCATCAGGTGACCTTGGGGGGGCGGGCGGGGAGATGATCCTGAACAAGCACATCCTAGAAGGCTCCTTACAAGAGAACGGTGAGGCTTGGTCTCAAGAACTTTGGATGTGGTGCCAGGAAGGGCCGGTCGTGGAGAAGGTAAAATAGAGGGGCAGCGGAAAAGAGGCGGGCCCTCCAGACAGGGACTGACACAGCAGCTCGAGCGAGGCAATGGCTGTGGGGATGGCCCAGGACCCCGCGGGGGTTCTGTGTGCCCAGGGCTGCCCACCCTGTGAGAAGGGACCCGAAGGCCCCTAACCACAAGGTCCTGCACTGTCAGGTGGGTGTGATGTAATCACAGGGGTCTTTCAACGGGGAGGAGGGGGACAGAAAAAGTTGGAAGAGCTGTGACTGCAAGAGGAAGCAGGGAGTGCGGTGAGGGCCCGGCTGTCCTTCTGAGCTTTGACGATGGAGGAGGGCCGGCTCCAAGGAATGCAGGCGGCCTCCAGAAGTGGGAAGAGGCAAGAAGTGGTTCCTACCCAGAGCCCAGTGGGGAACACAGCCCTACCGGTGCCTGCATTTAGCCCGGCAAGACCCGGGATGTCCCATCCTCCAAGCTCTGCTGGCTCAACCCCTGTGCGTGTTTCTAAAAGGAAGCATAATAGATTTGCTTCAACAGCGATTGGGTGGCTTCCGAGGGTGGGGGTGGGGGGGTTTAGTGAGCTGGGTTTCCTTCCCACCCTCCCTTCCATGTGTCTGAATAATTTCTGGAAATGCAAACCCACTCCTTCTACAAGAGAACACTTTCAGATCACTAAAATGGTTATGGGGAGAGCCAGGGAAGAAACTGAGGCACGGGGGCTCCTAAGAGGCTGTGTGCCCCCCTGTGGGTTTGCTCCTAGAAGGAGATTTGCTGGGTCCACAGCGACGCATGTGGAAGTTGAACATCGGATATGGAAGCCCCAAGAGGAATCGGTGCATTTGAACGGCGGTGCTGGGGGCGAACATTGAAAGTACCGTGGACTGCGAAAAGGACAAACATCTGTCTTGGAAGAAGTACGGCCAGAGCGCTCCTCAGAGGCCAGGATGGTGAGGCTTCCTCTCACCGACTGTGGACATGCTGTCAGGAGAGATCGGTCCCTGGAGAAGGACACCGTGCTTGGTAAAGTGGAGGGGCAGCGGACAAGAGGAAGGCCCTGAAGGAGACGGATTGGTACAGTGGCTGCCACCGTGGGCTCAGGGAAAGGAGCCCTTGTGAGGGCAGTGCAGGACCCGGCAGTGTTCCGTTCCGTGCACAGGGTGGCTGTGGGTCGGAGCCCACTGGATGGCACCTGGCAACAACAGGCCATCTCCAGACTAGAGGGGTCCTGCTCAGCCCCTCTGACAGCACCCATCTTGTCAGCAGCCACACCTGCCAGAAGAGCCCCCCTGAGTGCTGGAGCAGGGCAGTATGAGGGAGAGGAGGGGCCAGGCCCTGGGGCCCAGGGCTGCCCTGAGCAGCTCCCCGAGCTAGACAACCCAGACAGCTCTGGGCCCCAGACCAGGTCTTCAATATGCCTCCACTGCCGGGGGGTGGTGGTGGAGGGGGGACGGGACTCAGGTCCTGCTCGCCTCAGGTTCCACCAGGCTGTAGAGATCACCTGTCCACCGTGCCCCCATTCTTGTGTCAGAGCACCCTGGGGGGGGGGGGGGAGTGCTCTTAAAGGGCCAGGCACTGCGGCTAACGGGAAGGGCTGAAGGCTGAGCTCAGGAAGCTGCAGGGCCCGTGAGAAGGAGGGTCTTCCAGATGCACAAGCCTCTGTGCCCGCCTTGCAGGATGGAGGCCACCCTTTGCCAGAACTGGCACTGAAGATGAACCTTCGGTGGGAAAACCCCCAAAACACCCCCCCCACCCCAGCTGCTGCCCTGTGGGGGCAAGTCCCAGCCATGTAAGTGGGCCACCATCCAATCCGGAGGCCAGGCTTGGGCCTCCCTCCCCTGGGGCGGGGGTCCAGAGATGACTCAGCAACTCTTCTCTAGCACCGGCACCCCTCTTCTGCTCGCTGCTCGTGCTCCTCACCGCCCTTGCAGGACACCTGCACTCTTGTCACAGGCTGACCTCACTCAGTCTCCCCACCCGCAAGCTGAGAAGTCCAGGGGTGCTTTGCACACCTCGTTTCGGTTGCAGCAAAACCAAATGGCAGAGCACGCTGCTTCCAGCCATGGAACGGACTCAACCGGAACCACGCCTTTGACAGGTTGGTGCAGATGGTCCCCGGCCCCACCCATCAGAAAGGGTTCACCGTGCACAGTTTATCCCCACCTGGTGGTGACCCCCCTCATCCCTCCCCCACCCACAGGAGCCACTGACACCCTGGGCTTCTTGCTCCTGCTCAGTCCCCAGGGCCCCTTAGGCCCACCCTGTATGCTAGCTCTTGGGGGAGGAGGCTTTTCCAAGGACCCTAGAGGGCCCCCTGCCCCAGTCTCTGGGCCCTTGGGGCTTCCCTCTGCCTGACCCTCCCCTCTCCTGACACCCTCCCTCACCCCGTCCCCCTCGCCCACTGATCCAGCTCTCCCTCCAGCCTCCCTCTTCTCTAACATCGTTGTGTGAGGTCACTGCCGGGGCCTGAAGCCCTGCCTGCCAGCCCACAGGTCTCACCCCTTAGCAGGACAGCAGAGGCCCCTGTAACTGCACAGCCAGGGTGGGCTGTTCACATGTAACACCCAATGTCCTCAACCCTACCCACAGGCCAGTACCCAGCACAGCGCCCACCCCTCGGGGAGAGGGACCCCTCTCACAGTCAGACCCCCAGCAGTCCCAGCCTCTGAAAGGCTCCTCCTGCCCAGAGGCCGGGACCCAGCACGCTTTTCTGTACCAGCCCACCCTGTAGTGACTGCGATGGCCGAGGGCCTGGGAATTGTGTGCTGGTTACTGAGCACGGCCGTGACTGGGCATGAAACCAGGCCAGGGTCTTAAAAACAAAGGTCGCAGGTGCCCATCCCCGTGGGCTTCCTGATCACCCCAGCACGTTTTGTTCTGAGCTGTGTTCTCTCGGGGTGTGGGGATGGCGGGAACACTAGAACATGGGCTGCAGATCTGGGCCCACGTGCAGGCTCAGGGACAGCTGGTCGTTGGCCGTCGAGGAGAGTTTACACCGGGGGAAGGGGCAGTGGCGGCGGCGGTGACAAGTCAGGGCTGGGTTCATCGTTTATTGTCTAGACTGAAGGCAGGGAGAGGCCACACCAAGAAAGGAGAGCGCATGTGCACACGCGTTGTGTCTAGAGCGGTTCCACCGTGCATGTAGGAGGAGAGTGAGTCCGGACCCTCACACTCTCCAGGGAGACACTGACTCTCGCTGGTGGCCCTGACCCAGTCACACCTGGAACGTGCGTCTTCTCTCCTACTGACCGACACACGCAGAAAGGTGAGGCGACAGACACTTGACCAGAACGGCCCGTCCACCGGCCGCTGGGGTGGGGGGGCACCCCAAGAGTGCCACAACCAGCAGGGAGAGTGCTCAGCCAAGACTCCATGTGCCACGTTCCCAACGACAAGTCTCTGTGTCTTTTCTCTGTAAACCGTGTTCAGAAGGTCCCATAGAGAGTAGAGTTCCTCATAAGCTTAGGTCTACAAGCACACGCACACGTGAGCTCGTGTGCACACACACATACATGCATACGCACGCTCGAGGGCCCACTGTTAACCATTTGCCCACACGCCGTTGTCTTCAGGACTAGCTCCGCCGCCAGGGAATCTCAGCCTCGCCAATCCTGACATTTGGGTCAGCCCCTTCCTCGCTGAGGGGGGCCCCTGTGTATTCTGGGGCTGCATCTACTACACACCAAGGGCACCTCGCTACCCCCAGTCATGACAACCAAAGAGCTCTCTCCAGACATGGCCAAATGTCCCCTGGGAGACAACACTGCCCCAGTTGAGAACCACTGTCTGAGGCTGCCCACCTCCGTGACACACACACACACACACACACACACCCCTGGGCCACTTCAGGCTCCTCTGTCTCCTAGGCAACCCTGTGTGGGGGCCTTCTGTCCTCTGTGAACCCCGCTGCCCCAGGATGGCACAGTGGATGGGGAGGAATGGAATCGACCACGTGCAGGGTGGCACACAGGGGTTCACACACAGGCTCTGCAATCAGCCAGACCTGAGCTCAAACCCCACCTGACACCTGTAGGCCGGGTGACCTCAGCAAGTCACGGAACCGCTCAGAGCTCAGGGGCCTGGTCTGTAAAGTGGGCCTGTGGTCACGCCCACCAGGATCGATTATTACCACTGTGGGGAAATGAAATGAGTCGATGCATGTCACATGGCTCACACGGGCTGTGTCTGACAGCACGGCCGCCCAGAGCCTGCCCCCCGCCCCACAGGCTCACCTGAGAGATGTACCCCGGAGGGACGGGGCTGTCCTCGTGGGTCTGGGGTGCATCCTGTGGGGCCTCCCCTCGGAGACGCCAGACCTCCAGCTGGGCCCGCAGACACTGGACCTGCAGGAGCGGAGGTGGGGTGGGGATGGAGGGAGGTCAGCAGGGCCCGAGAAGGGGAAGCAGGCCTCGGGTGGAGATGTAGGCAAAGGGGAACACCCCTGCCCCGAACCCCTTGGATGGCCAGATCAATGACGTACAAGAATCTAGGCCCAGAGGAGACTTGATAGGGCTGGTCACTCAGACTGCCCGCATGACAGAGGTGGTAAAGACACCATCCCTGAGCCTGACTGCCTGCCTATCGGCGAGTGTGCCCTCTGTCCAATGAAGCCAGCGTGCAGAACGCTAACAGCATGGTGCGTCAGGCAAAGCTGCTCATGAAAGACCTCCTCTAAGTGTGGGAGAGCAAATGTGTCACTGAAGCCTGCCACCAGCTACGGCAATTGAGTCACCTGCCACGCGTGTGAAAAACGGACAATGAAAAGGCAGGACCACAGAGGCCTGGACGCATCAGCGTCAGGGTGCTGGCAGGGAGTAGACAAGTACCGGGCCGCCAGAAGAACCGAGGGCTGGGGGTGGGGGGCGCGCGGAGGAAGGACAGCCAGAAGGCTCCTGAGACACCTTGGCAGGAGGTCCCAGTCCCTGGAGAGCGGCACATCTGGCAAGGCGGAGGATCGGGGGAAAGACGGAGGCCCCAACGAGATGGACGGACGCCCTGGCTGCAATAAGGGCTCGGATGCAATGACTGTGAGGACCTCGAGGGAAGGGTCGGGCTTCCCTTCTGTTGCGAGTCAGCCCCAACGTGACGGCCCCTTACACCCAGAGGGGGGCCAGTGGAGGAGTAAGCCAGCTAGTGACGGTCAGGAGGGCATAGGACAGGTGTGGCTCTGGAAGGTAATAAGTGATTTCGGCAGTTACTGAGGTGGGGTGAACTGAAATGGCTTGATGTGTCTCTTCCATCCAAGTCTCCACAACGCCCACGCAGGGCTGGGTGGGGCTATGCAAATACGATGTGGGAGACACCCGTCAGTTTCAGTTGCCGCTCCCCTGGCTCTAAGGATGAGCCATCTCAGAAGCAGAGATGTGGAGACATCCCAGCATCCTAAGGAAGAAGAGCCACCAGCCAGGCTGGTTCAGGATCCGTGTCTCACGTGGCCATGGCTGAGGCGGAGGCCAGAGGCTGAGACAAGCAGACCTTGAGACAGGGCAGAGGAGCCGAGCCGAGACCATGACACTGTGAGGCAGAGCTTCCTGGCCCACGGAGCCAGAGGCCACGGGACCCCATGGCTGAGAGGCTGAGGACTGGAGAGTCGTGGCTGCCGGCTGAGGAGCGGTGTTGCTGCGGACCAAGGATTGTGTCCTTAATGCTTTCTGATCCTGCTTGCTAACCTGTGAACGTCCCTAACAAACCCCCTTACCAGACAGCCATGCCCACGGCTATTGGGTCAACTCTGACTCACAGGGACCCTCTAGGACAGGGCAGAGCTGCCCCTGGGGGTCCCCAGGACTAGCTCCTTCGTCTTTCTCCTGTGAGCCTGCACTGGGGGTACTATCGGTAAGTCCCAGGCACCACTGTACTGGATTCTCAATCCAACAGGAAGCTGAGCATCTCGGGAGGGAAGGTTGGTGTCAGAGGGGACAAAGCAGGATGATGGTAGGGAGCGTGCATGAGCCCTGCCTGGAGGGCTTCTCCTTCTCCCCGCGCCCCAGGGTTTCTCCAGGACAGCCGATTCCACCTGACAAGGCGCCTGAGGTGTCAGGCTGGATGGGGGTGAGCTCCTCCCAACCTGGCTGCCCCTCAAGTGGTGCAAGGAGTGGAGGGAGGCTGGTGGGGGCGCTGGGGCTCCAGGGTGGCCAGCTGAGGTGCTTACCTCCTTCTCCAGGGCCTCGTGACTGTCGCTGGAGGGTCCCCGGCGCTCCCCGCGGCCTTGGCTGAGCAAGGCGGTGAGCGGCACCCGCTTGCTCTCCCGCAGTGGCAGCTTCTCCAGCTCCTGCCATTTCTTCTCGATCTCCTCGCTGAGCCGGCTCTGCTGGTCCTCCGTCAGGGGGGCGCCCAGGCCCCGGCGGGGCCCCTCGCCAGTGCCGGGGGACGGTGGCTCTGCCACGCGGCCGTCTGTGGCCTCGAACCACTTGCGCCGCTCCTCCGAGCGCTGGGCCAGGCCCCGCTCCAGCTCCTCCTGCTTGGCTGGCCGGTCGGCAGTGCGGGCGGCCGGGCGGACCCGCTGCGGGGTGCCTTGCGTCAGCGGGGAGAGCTGCACATACTGCGAGGGCTGCCGCTGCCCATCCGCCTTCCGTGGGCCGCCCCGGCCGATGACCTCAGAGCCTGCCCGCTGCTCCCCGGCCTTCAGCGAGCCCTTCAGGGTGCCGTGGCTGTGCAGTGCGTTCTCCTTGTTGTGGTCCGAGAGCCTAGGACGCCAGCACAGCCCATCAGAGGGCCCTGCCCACTCGGACCCACAGGAGGCAGCCTGCTGTGGGCAGAGCGCCCTGGAGGCGTGGCTTGCCCTCCCTGTCCCCCCCACCTGTAAGATATGCCGTCGGATTGGGGAGCTCTCCTGTAAAGCAACCAGGAAGTCCTTTGCAACGCTGACGGATGGATGAGTATTACAAGTGAGAAATCTCTACAGAAGTGTCTACAGAAATCTCTACATGTGCTCAAGGGGCTGGGTTCTGACCAAGAGAAACACCCACAGGCACTGCTGGCCTCCGGAGGCACAGAGGCCACATGCTGAGCTGTCCACCAGCCATGCACACACACGGTCACACCCCGTTAAAGACAACACTTCCCAGCATCCCTTGCAGCTTTCACACCCATAGGATGGCATTCTGCCCAATGGGGTGTGAGAAGTGCCCTGCTTGTCACCCCTGCCCAGAGCTACCTACAGAGTTGCCCCAGGAGGCCTGAACTGTGGACCTGGGTCCTGTTCAGAGCGCGAACTGACTACCCGGCGTAAGCCGCTCTGTGGCAGCAGGCAGCCTATAGTGGCACAATGCCCCTGGCTAATCAAGAAGCTGGCCGCTGGGAGTTCATGCAGAGGTCCCTCAGAAGTGCCTGGTGATCGACCTCCAAAGAGCAGTCACTTACAACCCCACGGAGCAGAGTGCTCCTCTGATGGACATGGGCCCAGGAGTTGGACCAGGTGCAAGGGCAGCCCAGCCTGGGTACTAAACAACCCCACTGCACAGCCTGGCCTGATACTAAATAACTCCAGCCTGTGTACTACATAACAACCCCACTGCACAGCCTAGCCTGTATACGAAATAACTCCAGCCTGTGTACCACATAACAACCCCACTGCACAGCCCAGCCTGTATACGAAATAACTCCAGCCTGTGTACTACATAACCCTAGTGTACAGCCCAGCCTGGGTACTAA